GACGCCGTCGCAGAGCAGACGGAGGACCCGGCGATGAAGGAAGTCAGCGAGTTGCTTCTGCTGTGCGTGCGGCTCCGCCCCGCCCCGCCGGCCGCCCCTCCTCCCGGCTCGGGCACAGGCCGCAAGCCTCCGCCTGGCTCGGCGAGGCGTGACTGGGGCGGGGGGCAGCGGCGGAGGATCCGCGCCATGCCCGCCTGCCACGGATAGACGCCATGAGTGACCCCCCCGTTCACAGTGTTGCTCGGATGGGACCTGCGCCAAGCCCGCCTGCAGGCGAAGCGAGGCCTGCGCCGAGGCGGAGGCCGCCTCCGCGCGGAGGGCTGCGTCGGTGGCGTGGACGGCCTCGATCACCTCCTCCAGCTTGCGGCTCGCCTTATATTATTATCTGATTATCTGATTATCTTATTGTATCACCTCCTCCAGCTTGCCGCTCGCCTCGTGCAGCTCCTCCGAGAGGACGGCGACCTAGGGGAGATACACCCGAGATCCACCCGAGGGATAGACGCGAGATACACGCGAGAGATAGACGCGAGAGATGAGCCCTCCGGCGGCGACCTGATCTCCTCGAGCTGCAGGAAGCGGCATCTGCCCGACGCCTCGGCCGTATCTCGGCAATCTCCCGGGTTGCCTCTCGGCTCTCCCTCGCCTTGAAGCGCAGGAAGCGCAGCTGGCCGATGCCGTCCGCGCGGTGCCACAGCTGGCGGGGCACCTAGGGGTAGGGGTAGGGGTAGGGGTAGGGTTAGGGTATGGGTTAGGGTTAGGTGCCGCAGCTGGCGGGACACCTCGACCAGCCCGTAGCCGAGGAAGGCGACGAGGATGAAGAGGCCGATCGCGTTGAAGAGGCCGGTGACGAGCATGCGGACCGCCGTCAGCGTCAGGCCTTGCCTCGAGATTAGGTAGACGAGGAAGCCGACGCCGACGACGGTGAACGGGACGTAAAAGAATGCGCACTCGCGCAGCGCGTCGCGCAGGCGGCCTCGGCTGGTGAACTCGCCCGAGCTGATGTACGAGCGGAGCAGGTCGTTCATCAGGTAGCCGAGCAGCATCGTCACGCGGTACGCCGCCGGGATCAGCGTCGGAAGCGCCTCTATGCCCGGGTGCGGCAGGCAGTGGCAGTCGCTCGGCTGATCCTCCCACGCGATCACATCATTGGCGGTCTCGTTGCCGCGCGGCGCCGCGGCGTGCGCCGATGTGTATCGGCACCGCCGGCAGTACGCGTGCTCGAGGTCGAATGGCAGCACCAGAAACATGAAGAAGCCGATCGACCACGAGGTGCCCACGACGACCAGCACGTAGAGCCGCTCTCCACGCCGGGCAAAGTAGCGCAGGCAGAGCGCGGCGGACAAGATCGAGACGGCGAGGGCGAGCACCCACATGTATGTCCCGTTGTGCAGTACTGGCTTGTGGTGTCGTCAGATGCCGTGTCTCGGATAAACCTGATCGACCAGCCGGGCGGGTAGTATAAGCGCCGCTTACCAGAGAAGAAGAATTTTTTTTGGCACAACGCTACTGGCTGCCTTGGGACTCGCCGCTTTCCTCCCTCTGTGATTCTGTGTGAGCTCTTTGATTTTCCAACAACAACCCGGAATAAAGAATTTGGGCGTCCCGCGGCGCTGGCGCGACTTCAACAACCTTCAACAACCTAACTCATGCTCACCTCCGAGGAGAAGCTCCAGCGTGGCTTTCGAGCCGAAGACGACATCCTCGTGCCACTTCCCGTCGACTCTTCGAGCGACGAGGATGAGGCCGCCGCCGACGGGCGCCACGCAGACGAGGATTTGCCCTCCTCGGCATCGGTGTTGGTCGAGGCCTTTTTGGAGGATGTCGTCCAGCGCTCCGCTGACGCGTGCGTCGGTGCGTCCGCGTCTCTCTTCGACCTCGACTTTTGGCAGAACGAGGCTGCCCAGCTCGGGCTCCACGTCATGCGCCCCGACCGTGGCAGCGCGGGCGCTCTCCCTCCGTCCGCCCCGCTGCGCCGCTCCCTCGACCGACGAGGGTACTTGCAGAGCCCCACCCTCTTTCCGGGCGACGCCGACGAGGCGACGCTCTCCGCGCTGCGGCGCATGCTCGCGCGCCTCAAGCAGCTCGGCTTTGCGCCCGGCTTCCTGTACGTGTTTGACGAGGCGTGGCTGGTCATCGAGCGGTGCATGCGCCTTTTGGGCGATGTTTTGGTGCCGGAGGCCGGGACCGGACGCGGCGAGCAGGCTGCGTCTCGAGCCCCGCGCCAGGAGCCTTCCTCGACCCTCCCTGAAGCCCTCCCTGTAGGCGTGCAGCAGCTGGTTCTCGAGCCTTCCGTCTTTGCGCACGCCCTCGAGAAGCCAGCCTCCGCGGAGGACACCGACGAGGAGCGGCGGCGGGAGGCGGCCTCGCAGGATGCTTCGGAGATCGCGCGCCACTCGTACTTGGGCGGCAACTTTGGCGCACCGCGACCACTCCTCCTCCGACTGTCTGGAACCCTCTCGGAGCCCCTCTCTGAGCCTCCCATAGGCCTGCCGCACCGCGACCACTCCTCCTCCGACTGCTTCGACGCCGCGTCTGGCGAGCCCGTCCTCCTCTCGCTCTGGTGCCCTCTCACCCGCGTCACGGCCGACAACGGTTGCATGTTCGTGCTGCCCAAGGATCGCGACCCGCTGCTGCACCAGCCGCGCCACCCCCACCACCTCCGCCCCTTCGACGCCTCCTCCGGCACACTGCGCTTCGGGCTGGGCGGCGCCGTCGCCTCGCCTCGCAATGACGTCTCCCACGAACCGCCTCGGAGCCTTCTCGGAGCCTCTCCTGCAGGCGCCGTCGCGCTCGCCCCTTGCGACGCCGGCTGCGCCCTAGCGTGGCACCGCTCCGCCACTGGGGTGCGGACCTGCACGCTTCCCTGAGAAGTTTCGTCGATGGGTCCCGCTTAGGCACGGCTCGCTTGTGCACTGGGGCGGCTGCTGCTCAGCGCACGCCGAGGAGGGGCCGCGCGCTAGCCTGACTGCCGGGCTGAGGCCGCGGGCGTGTCTGATGCTGCTGCTCCGCATCGAGCTGCGCCGCTTCACAGCTGACCGCCGTGAACAGGCTTCGATCGAGCCGGGCGACGCAGCTGCAGGTGCAGCCGTAGTCCAAGGGGGCAGCTCACGCCGGCGAGGCTTTGAATGCGCCATGTCGATGGTTGGATGCAGGCGGAGCAGTCAGAGGGAGAGCTCACCGTCGAGCAGCTGCCGCCGCCGCTCGAGGCGCGCCTCCGGATGGTGGTGAGGCCGCCGCTAGGGGCCCGTGAGAGGGCTTGGAGGCACCTTCCTGCAGGCGCGCCTTCGGATGGTCGCGAGCTCGCTGCTCGTGTACAAGTGGTGGTTCCCGCTCAGAGGTGCCGTGCCAGCGAGGCTCCCCTAGATGCTGTATGCCCCGCAGCCTTTGGTTCTCGCGATGCGGCGAGGCAATCACCGGGTGAGTTCAACTTCGAGCTCCTCGAGCTGCCCGCCTCGATTGGCCTCGCGAGACACCACCTCAGTCGCCACTGTGGACTAGGCGCGGTTCGTGCCCGCTGCGGCGTCGCGCCTGTCCACGCTCGAGGCCGGCGTGATCCCGCGCTGCGCTGCACCACACACAGAAGCCTTCCGGGAGCCGCTCTGGGAGGTGTCCTGTAGGAGGGCGTGCTCCGCGTGGCGGTCGAGGCGGCGCACGTGCCCGACCCTCTCGACCCGAGGCGCGAGAGAGTAGATGCCAGAGAGTAGATGCGGACTTGGGTACCACCTTCGTGCTCCACCCAGACGGGGTCGGCTGTCCTCCGCTACCGTCGCATGCGCCGTGCTGCTTCTGGCCCTTGGAGATGCATATAGTCCCTTGGATATGCTTCTGGCCCTTGGAGATGCACCCCGACTGCAGGGCACGAGACCCGCCCTCTCCCCGCCCTCAGAGCTCGCCGCATCCACGCCTGCAGGCGCTGGATGCTTCGCTACACGGAGGCGTTCGGGTCGCGGCTTGGTCTGCGCGTGCGGTGGGTCGAGGCCCCCGGCCGCTGCAGCCACGGGTCTCGTCCTTGCCACACATCTCCTTCCAGCGCTCGCCCGTTTCTGCTCACACAGGCCCCCTTCGACGGGTCGTGGGCTCTGGCCGGGGAGGAGGGCGCCGTCGACCTCGTCGCTACGAACGTGGCCCCCTCCCCGCAGCGGCGCGCGGAGGCGGTCGGGGCGGCTTTCAGCGACCCGTTCATGTACGAGCGGCGAGCGCTGCGGGTCCGCGAGGCGGACGCGGGCCGGCGAGATCTAGCCGAGATCCAGCCAAGACACAGCCGAGACACAGCCGAGATGCAGCCGAGAAAATTGTCGCCGGTTTGCGCACCCCTCTCACCCCCCCCCCCCCTCTGGCCGTCGGCCAGGTACGCCACGATTTGCGACTTTGGCGGCGAGCGCGTCGGCGCCGTGCGCGGCATGAACGCCGAGATCGATCTGCGGAGGCGCGTGCAGACGCTCGCGCCGGCCGTGTCGGTCGTCGCGACCGACACGTTCCCCGAGCTGTACGAGCTGTTCCACAGAGGCGAGCTCGCCGCCGTGGCGCAGGCCGAGTACTATGCCATCGACGGCTCGGTGATCCCCTCGAGCCCGCCCGGGATCGTGCTTGTCGACCACCACGACTTGGTGCCGGGCCAGAGGGAGGAGTGCGCCTTCGTCGTGCGCGGCGCGAGCCGCGGTCTCCTCGAGGCGGTGAACGAGTTCATCGCGACCACCGCCTTTCCCGTCGCCGGCGAGCTGGGCAAGCGGGACGGCTGAGACTCTACAAACAGTACAAGTCGTTCTCTGTCACTGTCTGTCTCTCGACGTCTGGGGGGGACACTTGCGCCCGCACACGCGGATGGGGATGGGGGGGCGCCGCGCCGCCCGCCGCCGCCGGATCCGCCGTGCCGCGGCGCCTTCTCCCATCACCGTGCCCGCCCTGCGCGAGCGCCCTAGCGAGCGCCCGCTGGGCCTGGCGGGGCTGAAAAAGTTAAAAGAACATATCCGATATCGTGGAAATTGAATAATTGGCAAATTTTGAGCCGGCCGTCAACGCCATCAACCACTCGCGCTCATCATCCGCTTTCCGGTCCCACACGTGTCCTCAGCTCCCAAACACATCGTCCCAGCTCACGCCGCCGCCGCCTCCGAGCCGCCCTCGGCTGGCCCCTCGGTCGGCCGCTTTGCCCTTTGGCTTTGCAGCGCTGGCGGCTGGCGCTTCGCGGCCGCGCTTGGCCGGCTTGGCCGGCAGCTTGCTCGGCGGCTTGGTCGGGGCGGTCTCGAGCACCTCGAGCTCCTCCTCCTCGCTCTCCTCGCCACCCTCCTCGCCGCCGCTCTCCTCCTCGCCCTCCTCCTCGCCCTCCTCCTCGCCCTCGCTCTCCTCGCCCTCGCTTTCCTCGCCGCTCTCCTCCTCGCCCTCCTCCTCCTCGCCCTCCTCGCCGCCCTCCTCCTCCTCGCCCTCATCCTCCGGAAGGAACTTGTGCGCCGTGACGATACCGCGCACGCCCGGCTGCTTCGGCGTCGGCAGCGCCGACGCGGCGGCGGCGCCCTCCTCGGCCGCGGCATCGGCGCGGTGCGCAAAGTCGGGCGGCAGCGTGAAGTAGGGCAGCCTGCCGCGCTGCCAGTCGTGCAGCACGAGCTTGGCCGCCGCGTTGATGTCCGGCTCGCCTCCCTTGAGCAGCTTGCCGATCCGGCGGCCGTACTGCTCGAGGAAGTCGGTGGGCGAGTCCCACGCCTGGACGATTAAATGAATTAAAGATTAATAAATGAATTAAAGATTAATAAATTAATTAAAGTCCCACGCCTGGACGTCGTAGGTGCGGCGGACGTACTCCGGCTTGACGCGGCGGAGCACCTCCTCCACGAAGTCGGCCGCGTGGCGCAGCTGCTCGATCCGCACCACGCCCTTGAGCACCGCATCCTCCTCCGAGTTGCCCGACGGCTGCACGGTGCCGGGGCAGTCAATCAGGTAGATCGACTTCATGAGGGTGATGTACTGCCAGACCTTGGTCTCGCCCGGGATGGGCGCCACCTTGCACACCTTCTTCTTCTTGAGGGTGTTGATGATGGACGACTTGCCCACGTTCGGGTAGCCGATGAAGCCGACGGAGATCTGCTTCTTGTCGGCGTGCAGCTTCGCAAACCTGCGCCGCGCAGGCAGCGGAGGTGAGGGGCGGGGGCACGGCCTCGTGCCAGCCGGGGAGCCAGGGGAGGGCGCTCATTCCGCAGCATCTAGGCTGGCGGACTGGCGCAGCAAGTTGATCAGCGCGCCCTTGCCGAACGGGTTGGTGATCGAGGCGTGGAAGGCGACGGTCGGCGCTTCGCGCGAGAGCAGCTTGAGCCAGGCCGCCGTCACGCGGCTGGGGACGAGGTCGCACTTGTTCAGCACGAAGACGAGGTGCTTGTGCTTCGCCTCGCGCCGCAGGAACTCCTCGGCGTGCGGCGCGCGCGTGCCGAGCGGGTCGCGCGCGTCGAGCACCTCGACGACGACGTCGGACGAGTCGATCACTTTGAAGAGCTCTGCGCGGATGCGGCGCGACTGGCCCGCGTCGAAGATGTAGTTGCGAGGCCCCACCGGCTCGACGGCGCGCTCCACGTTCGAGTCGACCTATGGGGAGATAGGGGGAGATAGGGGGAGATAGGGGGAGATAGGGGTGTGCCGCTCCACGTTCGAGTCGACCCGCTCATCGTACTCTCCGGCGCGGGCGGTGGCGGAGGCCGCGAAGGCGTCGAGCTCAGCCGCGTCGCTCGAGGCGGCCGCGACGGCCGCGACGGCCGCGGAGCTGCCGCCGCCGCCGCCCCCCGCCGCGGGGCCGAGCAGCGCCGAGAGGCGCGGCCGCTTGCGCTGCGCCTTTGGCCCAAACGTGTCGCCGAAGCTCTGCGCGCGGAGCAAGTCGACGCGGCCGGCCTTGTTGGTCTTGCCGCCCGAGGCGAGGAGGCCCATCGGGAGCTTGTGCCGCCGCAGCAGCACCGCGTACGGGTCGTTCGTCGTTGACTCGATCTGCGAGCGGAAGTCCTGCAGCTCCTGCTGGCCGACGACGCGCGTATTGCCAAACCAGCGGCGGTCGGGCTGCACGCGCGCGGCCGTCATGTTCTGCACGGAGTCTCCGACCGCGAGTCCACCCTTGACGATCTTGCCAGACTTGTTGCGCTTCACCTTGCTCCGGTACATGTTGAGCCGGTTGATCGTGCCCTTTGAGCGGAGCGACGGCCCCGACGCGGCCGACTTGGACGAGGCGACGCGGTCAGGGTTGGTGGACGAGGCGCCGAGGCGCTTGCCACCATTCTTCTTGCCCGCAGAGGTCTTGGGCATGGTGCCGGGCGTGCGAACAGAGCGCTGGGCTTCTCGGAGGTGCGCGTGCCCACGAAGAGACGCAGAGGCCCAAAAAAATCCCTTCACATGCGGACCAGTGTGGGGACGTGTACTTCTTCTCGTTGTAGGCCGAAAAAGAATAAGTGAATCGTTTGAGCGCATGCATGTACATGGCAACAGTCGGCGCGAAACGAAGTCGCGATCGATGTTGTTTCGCATCGCCCCAGGGCATGTGTGGCGCACGCTGCGCACGAATGCCCTGCGCGTACCCTGTGTGTGATGATCGTCGGCGCGACGACGCCTTCTTCTCGGCAAAGAACCGATTGCCATGTACGCAGTCCCTGACACCAACAGCATTGCACGTACACATTGCAAGCGATCGAGAGGAGCAATCACTCATCAGTGCCTTGCTGTGCGCCGCGCAGTGCGAGGCAGCCTAAGCGAGCAGTACCTGGCGCACGTCCGAGCACCCCAGGTCGAAGGAGCGACCCGGGCGGCGCTTGGCGAACGAAGCCCGCACCATGCCGCACCCGGGGCATTCTTGCGGCCAAAGAGTCGAGATGCGGCCGTTTACACCACTCGCGCCTTGGGAGACGACTGCTTTGAGCAGGAAAGCACCGCGTATACTCCTAGCCCAGTGCGAACGATCGAAATCGGCGCCCTGGCAACCGCCTGCTGCCAGTGGGCGGGTACCAGCTCGTCTCTCTCGCCAGATGAGCGGCTCGGCACCAGCTCGTCCCTCTCCCGCGGCTCGGCCACGGATGAGCAGCTCGGCACCAGCTCACCCCTCTCGCGCCGGTCGGCGACGGGTGAGCGGCTCACCCCGTACTCGCTCTACTCTGAGCAGCAGCCTCCATGTGTGCCAAGGGCGGTCTGCAACGGTGCCGAGGCTTCGATCGCGTCTGGTCCTCCACGGACTCCGTCCTCCCCGCACCGGAATCGCACCATGGCCAAGAGCCGCTCACTCCCAGATTTTCGTCGGAATAAGGGAGGCCAGCCCAATCCACCCTGCACCGACCCAGCGGCTCGCCGCTCCGTCTCCTTTGACAGCCCGTGCCCGCCTCGCCTTGACGAGCCGTGTCGATCGTGTGTAGGTCCACTACCCGAACAGCCTTGTCATCCAAGACACTCTTCGGCGGACGACCTTGCAGGACGACCGCCGACGGGCGCTGGCCACTCCAACTACACGCCTCAAATACACGCACAGACGGATCGCTGGCATCGCGCCATGCAACGGGCAGACCGTTTCGGTCTCCCCAGTTGTGGACACTTTGCTGATCACGAATAGGCACCCGTGTGGCTCATTGGGTGGAGCCTTCACGTCTGCCGTTGGACTATTTCGCTCCCGGCCCCGTCCGAACGGTCGAGCATGGCGCTTTGGCAACCGCCTCGTGCCCAGTTCTCGGCACCCGGTGGGTGGGCGCCGCCACTTCGTCTGTGAAGCGCATGGCGCAGCAACAGCAGCACGGAGTCAGCGCAACCCCATCCAGTCGGCGTCCGTCGACCTCGCCGTCGTGGTATCCACCCTCTCCCGCCTCTACTAGATCGGCTGAGCTCGACGTAACGGCCTCGCGGGGCCGACAGCCCGTATGAATCTCTCTGACAGCGCCAACACACAGTGTGACAGACACAGGCGGTCAGCGCACACGTGGGACACAGGCGGTCAGCGCACGTGGTGTAGTTCATACGTTATGGTGGACAAAAGAACCGCACAACCGCCACTCCGGTCTCCGCAGCAGGCCATCGCAGCCTATAGGCCGCGGAGCCGCGGGCGCCGCGCCCCGCCCCGCCAGCCTCCACCCCGCCTGGCGGCCGGCGGGCCGCGCCGCCCCGCAGGCCCAGCCCGCCGGCGGCGGCGCCCCGCCCCCCCCCGGCTGGCGGCTGGCCGAATCATTTTTACTAAAAAGGACCGTGGATCCGTGTCACGGTCGCAATAAACACCTAAAATGCGAGGTCTCTATGGCTGACGACAATGGTTGAGTTCAGAACAAGTGCAGCGCGACGTACAAGCGGCGGGTCACACCCGCTGCGACGACTCCTTCGTCGGCAGCTCCCCAAAATCGACCTCGGCCTCGCCTCCCGCCTCGCCGTCCTCCTCGAGCGCGCGGAAGGCTCTGCTCCCCGCGCGGGCGAGGCTGCCGCCCTCTCCGCCCGACGGCTTGCCCTTGCGCGCGGAGGTCGAGAAGAGCAGCGCCTTGGACTCGGTCCTGGAGAAGGGGAGGAGGTTTGGAAGGTGGCGGTGGCGGTGCTAGCCGCGGGACGAGGGGCCTGGTGGAGTCGGGGACTGTCTCACAGTCCGGAGGCACTCCACGCTTGTGGACGAGACTCGTGTCCGGAGTCGAAATGGAGTCTGAAACGGCAATGTCTAAGGCGGTGTCTGGGAAGTGTCTCGGAAGTGTCCGGGACGTGTCACCTCTCCGGCGAAGCGAGCGACGCGTCCGACTGGACGCTGGCGCGCAGCCCGTCCGGCGCGGCGGGCTTGTCTGGCGGCGGCTCGTCTAGCGGCGAGAGCTCGATCGCCTCTGCGTCGTCGGACGGCGGGCACCAGTCCTCCGCGACGGCCGGCATGCCTGCGCCATGGACACGCACCAGTCAGCGCGGGGAAGACGGCATCTGCAAGGGGTACGCGCAAGCGAGTACGGCGGAATACAGCCGAACACCGCTACAGCCGTGCCCTCTCGAGCGCTAGTTGGCGGACAGGGTATGCGGCGTCTCTAGGTCAGCGTGCCGCTGCCCCGCGCGTGATTGCCGTCGAGGCGGTGCTTGGCGAGGGCGCGCCTGGCCAGGCAGGGGGAGGGCGTGAAGCGCCGCGCTTGACGGAAGGGGAGGGCGTGAAACGGCGCGCCGCGCGAGCGTCGCCACTCGCAGCGCGAGCGCGAGCGATGCGAGCAGGCCTGTGGCGAGCATGTGGGGACTGTCGCGAGCGTCATCGGCCCGCCACGAGGAGGGGAGAGGGGAGAGAGGAGAGAGGAGAGAGGGGAGAGGGGAGAGAGGGGCGCGGGGCGGTGGCGCGCCGACGGCGGTGAGCGAGATCATGAGCGGGTCCTCGTGCGAAGCGTCGGCGAGCTCGGCCGTCACCTAACACACCTTGGGATCGGCCGCTCACGGGTCAGTCAATGGCCGGGACGTCGAGCAGCCGAGCAGCGGTGGTTGCCTTGGCCGCGTAGGCGTACGGAAGGTTGCCAGGCACGATCCCCACGGCCGTCGTCCACAAGTAGTGCGGCTGCGAGGGAGGGTGGGGCGGAGGAGGAGGGGGGGAGGGCTTCAGGGCAGGTCCGCCCTTCCGCACACGCTCACAGCGGGTTCCACGCTCACAGCGGGTTCCCGTGGACACGTGGCTGAGGCGACTGCTGATGCGACTGCTGATGCGGCTACTGCCGTCACATGCTCTCGCGGGCGCCATGCGCAGACCCCCGAGCCGACCGCGCGCAGTGATCGGTGTGGAAAGACTGGCCCACTCGCGGTGGGTGACTAGCTTGCTCCTCGCGCCTGCGAGAGGGAGGTGAGCGAGAGCAGCACGTTTGTGAGCACCATCGGCGAGAGAGGCGACAGCCGGATCAGCAGCGCGAGCACGGGGCCGTCGGCGGTGAGCGCGGCGTCGAGCGCCTGCCAGCGCGCCTTGCCCTTGCTGCCGAGCGCGCCGAGCATGCACGGCCGGCAGAAGCTGCGCGTCAGCAGCAGGGCGACATAGGCGCCCACCACAGAGCTGGAGACGTTGAGCGCCATGCCCGCGGCGATGCCGAAGAGGAGAGCGCCGGCGGCGATTAGCGGCCCCGCAAGCGGGATCGGGATGACGGAGCAGATCACCACGTTGAGCAGAAAGTATACCAAAGCGCGCTCGGCGTCGCTGCCGGGCAGCGAGTTGATGTCGACGCCGAGGATTACGTGTGGCGTGGCCCAGTCGGTGGCGTTCACGCCGCCGCTCGCGTTGCTCGAGGCCATGGCCGCGTCCTCGCTACCGGAGGCCATGGCCGCGTCCTCGCTGATCGAGCCCATATGTTTACACGTAGATGCGAGGCCGTGCAGGACGCTGGGCGGACGCGGTGTCGGTTCGTTTCGGTTTTTTCTTCTCTTTTAAATAAGGGGGGAAGAAAAGGCTACTGGCGGGAGGCGGCTAGCGCTAGCCCCACCGTCTTCACCACCACTGGCACTTCTTTCAAAAACACAACCCCGGCACCAAGACACTTCTTTCACCGTCTTGGCCGTGACATCTGCCCCGTTGGTTGGGGTCTTGGTTCGCTCACCATGCCGCGCCAGCTCTCGGTCGACCTGACCGTGCAGCTCTCTGCGGAGGAGGCGCTGCGTGTGCACCGCGACTTTGACTTCATGCACTTCACCACGCAGCAGGACGGGCAGGCGGTTGCGCTGCAGAGCGAGGAGGAAAGCTGCGACCAAGGCGAGGCGCGGGTGGTGCGCGTCTTCAACATGGTTTTTGTCATCGACCCCATCCCGAGCGGGCTGCGCGGGCTCGTCTCTCGCGAGAAGGTGCAGCCGGTCCTGCGCGAGGAGTGGTGGCCGGCCAGGAACGACGAGGAGCGGCCGATCCACTTCACGTCGACGGTGCCCTTCTTCGGCCACCGCCTCAAAGTCGAAGGCCGCCAGTGGTTCAGCGCGGCGCCCGACGGCTCGAACAGTTGCACGTACAGCGCTCGCGCCACCGTCACCTCGGCTCTGGTGCCGGGCTTCAACTCGCTCATCGAGAAGGAGGCGATCTCCAAGCTGGAGCACGCCGTCACAACCTTCTGCGACCGCGCGCCCCGCTTCCTCGGCCAGCAGCGCCGCGACCGATCGCCGCAGGGGCCCGACCGACACGACAGAGCCGCAGAGCCGTCTCCGCCGCTTCCTCCGCCGCAGCCGCCGCAGCCGCAGCCGCCGCAGCAGCAGCCGCCTCAGCCGCCTCCTCCGGCCACCGGTCGCCGGCCGCCGGTGCGGCCACTCCGGAGCGCGTCGCTCGAGTCGCTCGAGCCGTGGGTGCCTGTCTGGGGCGGTAGATGCGGAAACATGACACACCGCGTACTCAAACGAGCGGCCCGGAGTACAGACGCGTGTTTGGCGGTGTGCACGCGATGCTCCCAAGTACACACCGCTCGATGCCGTACTCACCCCCTGGCTGCGCTTTGCCCGTGGCGCAGGTTCAGGACTTCCTCGAAGGCGCGAGCGCGGTGATGGCGGCGCCGATGCAGGCGGCGGCCGGCTCCGCTCCCCTCTCGACGGCGCTGCAGCTCGACGAGGACGCGAGCGCTAATTCACAAGGTAATTGATTGATACGAATTCATAGGCGCTGCAGCTCGACGAGCTCTCGGAGGAGGCGCCGGTGCCGTGCAGCTGCTTCTGCGTCCTCTACCGGCAGCTGAGTGCGTGCGCCGCTTCGGTCTCCGCACTTGCGCACCTCGCTCTCCCACCATGCATGTGTGTCTACGCTGCGCACCGGTCTTTGTGGTAGGTCTCCACCTCGTACACCTCCCTCTCGACAGCGAGCACGCCGGCGGCATCGGACGGGCCCACGCCGCCGCCCGCTCGCAAGGCTTCGATCGGGGCGCCCACCGCCGCCGCGCTGCAGCGGGGCGTGCAGCGCGCCGTCGAGCGAGGCGTGCCGCGAGGGCGGCCGGAACCTTGCCTGAGAGGGCTCGCTCAGCCCTCGCTCAGCCCTTCTGCAGGCGTCCAGCTCGCCCGCCCGCCCGCGAGGGTGCCTGCCCGCGACCCGATGCGGCAGGGGCTCCGCCTCGCGCCGGAGGACGACGACTTTGGAGAGATCATCGAGTAGCGGGCCGACGTAGCGAGCTGCCGGTCGGTCGCCGTCCAGGCAGGGACTAGACGTCGTTTGGGTATTCGGGAGCCGCGCGCGTTTTGCAGCGCGTCGCGCGCCCCACAGCCATGCCATGCGTGTGAAGTGCGCTAATGAGTATAATGTGGCTCCCCGCCACCCGTACCGGGTGTGCCGTGGGGGCTCGTGTGTGACGACAGTGATGCTCTTGTGTGTTTATTATTATCGACCGCGGCCTCGACCGGCGGAGGGGGGGGCTCGACCCGTCGTTCGACCCGTCGTTCTGTGTGCCCGCTCTGACGCGCCGGCCGCCGCCCGTCCCGCCGTGTCGCGCGGGGTCGAGACGCGTCCTCGCGCCTCGGCCTCGCCCCTCGCCCTGCGCTCCAGTCCAACGACGCCGTCCCATCGTGGTTCGTGCGGGGGGGGGTGCTCTGGCCGCTCTGTCTCGCGCTCCCCACGCCGGCGGCACCGGCTCGCGGCGCGCAGCCCGCCCGGCCAGCCGCGAGGGCGACGCCCGACGGCGGCGACAACGGCGGCGGCGGTGTCAACCCGCGCCAGCGAGGCAGAGGGGGTTGTGCTTGTGAGTTGCGTCTCCTCACCCGCGTGAGGTGTGAGCAGGCGTCGTCGGCCCGGCCAGCGACGCAGCGAGGCAGAGGCGGCCGTCGAGGGGGGCGCCGCTCTCTTCCTTCTTTGGCGGCTACGAGCGCAAGGCGACCGCAGGCGAGCGGCTGGAGAGCCAGGGAGGGGTATGTGTGTATGGAGACTGGAGAGTGGAGTGGGGCTGGGGGGGGGGGGGTGAGACGGCTTGTTGCAACCTGTACACTGTAGGTTGGTCCGGTCGCGTGGGACTCGTCCGGCCGCTTCACTGCGCCAGCGCCGGCGGCCGGAGTTACTTTCATTCAAACGCGCACGGCACCTTAGCGCACCGGACCCGCAACAACCCACATGGCACATCACCCTGTTTGTCCGAATCAAACGCACAAGAGCGCGAAGGCTTCGCACTCACCCTCTAGAGTAACGTCATTCTTCTTCGGATCACACATCTCTACAGCTCGTCGTGTTCGAGGTCGGCCAGCGTGAGGTTGATCGGGCGGAGGGTGCCGCCGTAGTTCTCGTCGTCCGTTCCGAGGAAGGTCATCGGGCCGCTCACGGCGCTTGCCTCGCCGTTGTAGTACATGTTGACAGGCACCTTGTCGGCCCTTGCCACGGCCTCGACCTTGAAGCCGTTCACCTGCTTGCGGGGCGAAAGCAGTCTGTCCCAGCATCTCATATCGCGGGGCCCCATCTCATCATCTCGCGTCGCCTCGGCGAACATCGTTGGCTCGGGGTAGATCTCCACCATGGGAAACCCCCAAAATTCCGGATGAAAAGTGAGCTCGCCGATCTTGTACACCGCGGAGTTGTAGGGGCCGAAGTCGCCCACGTCGGTGTCGTAGGCGGCCGCCGCGTAGATGCCTAAGGCAAGGATATGGTGGGTGTGTAGCGAGCCAGATGCATCAGCTCCTACCCGCGACGCCAAACGCCGCGGGGCGAGGTTGGTAGCAACACGAGGCTAATATTGCGGACACACGCCTCCGGAGTCGTCGACGTCGAGAGAGACGATGGGCCGGTTGAGGGTTTGGTTCATGGGCGGAGGGAGGGCGAAGCTTTTGCTATCGAAGCCGCCAGGGCGCCCGATGGAGACGGTGTTGTTCGCGTCGAGAACGAGATCGGTGTACTTCCGAGTTTGGGGGGGGGGGGGGGGGGTGATGCGTGAGAGTGCGCGTGCGTGTGTGCAGGAAGAGGGTGGGCGATCGGTGGAGCTGTGCGAAGATGCGGGGGATTGGTTCGCACGTGAATGGTCGTCGACTCGCGCTCGGCCCACAGAAACACATAGAGGTCCGGTGCCCCGGGAGCAGGTGCTGGCCACTTGCCCACAGCGGTGGCCTCGACGTTCATTGGCACACCCGAGGACGTCTTGTTCGCTGGCGAACCATTGGAATTGACCCATCCGGGATAGAACTCCGTCCAGTAGATCTCTTGCTTGATCGTGACGGTCGGCTTCGCTCCGGCGGTCACCTGCAGCGAGGGGAGCTCTCAAGACAGGGTTGCCCCGATCCTAACCCTCTACTCACTTCTACGGTGCGGCATCGCACCTCCGACACGTAGATGCGCGGCGGGGGCGTCTCGCAAAAGGCTGGGTCTGTCTTGCTGGCCGTGGCGTCATACCTCCAGGTCGGGTCAGGGAGGCCGTGTTTGGGGTCAGGCCTGGTGGCGTTGCACGCGTCGTCGGCGGAGTTGCCGCTTTCGCAAAGCAGCACGAGGTTGGTGCCGGGGATGCGGGCGACGCTCTCGAGGTCGGTGCTGCGGTGGCCGGTGATAATCCCGGGCGGGTCGGGGAAGGCGAGGTCTGTGAACTCGAGGTGCATCAGCCCGCCCTCCAGGCCGTCGGTGGCGTCTTTCTCCTCCTTCTTGGGCAGCATGAACATGCTCACCTGCGACGAGCAGGGGATCATCGGGACTGTCATCGACAACCGCCACTATTTCGCGGCTCAGAGGATCTCACCCGCGTGAAGGGATCGCCGCTCGACAGATCGCTGTCTTCCTTTGGCTTGGCGTCGTGGACGGCGAGGAACTTGCCGTCGCCGCCGGCAATGCCGCCCAGGTAGGCCATCCCCGAGATGTCAAACACTCCGGGCTGGACAGACTTGAAGCTCGGGGTAACCAGCGGCTCGGGGATCGGCGATGAGGAGAAGAGTGCCTCGCGCTCGGACGCGACGGCCTTGAACGAGAGAGCCTCTTCGCGCAGCTTGGCGATTTCGATCTTGGCCGCCTCAAGCTCGGCCACGGCGTCGAAGGCGGGCGCGGCGTGCACAGCGGCAACGAGAGCGAACATGGGCGAGCAAAGGCGGCGAGCAAAGGCGGCGAGTCAGCTGTGGCCGTCGGCCTATATCTGTGGCAAATTCGGCGGTTCGTTCTGCCCTCGGAGCTATGGGCGTGTCCACGTTGGAGCCAGGTGTGGTGTGGGCGCGAGAATAGCTCCGCCGTTCATGGAGGCAACCGATGCGAGTCGACTGGTGTGTGTCGTCGTGGTTTCGTATCAAGAATACTCACTCACTGCCGGCTTCTCCGTCGCCTCTTCGTTGTTTGTCAATCAATCCATGATCAGACTGATAAAGCCTTCCCATGATCCCGCATGTAGCTAGCGTCCTTTGCGAATGCCTCGATCGAAATGACCAGCAAGCAAGCAGGGTGCAGGCGCTGGCTGCTTGCTCGTGGTCGGTCTATGCGGGCCCGGGGCCGCCCGTCCTTCCTTCCTCCTCGCCCTCGTGTCGGCCTGATCGAAGAACACCCCTGCGATTGATTGAATCCTGCGCATGCTCTTGGAGCACTTGGAGTGCAGTCATTAACCGCACGCCCAGGGCCAAGAAGCGTACCCAGCGGGCCATGCATTGTGATGAGTTCCTTATGGGAGGGATCCGACTGAGGAGGAGGTGGTGGGGGTGGAGGGCGGGGAGGCGGGGGGCGTGCTTGGGGAGATGGGGGATCGGGATCGCCGATGAATATGTCGTCTGGAATGGTTGTGGCGTTGCTGCCGTCAAGTTTGGTGTCGAGCCACCGCCCCGCGTAAGGCTGCGAAGTTGAGACGTAGCGGATGGACTCGCGGTAACGTATCTTGGTGTCACCGGGCTGCCAGTTGGCTGCTGTGTAGTCGTCAAGGGCGCGCCACTCCTTCTGCAGATCGAACCAGTTCCAGATAGTCTCGATGGCAGCAAGCGCCCGCGTGTACGGGCTTCCTGATTTGCAAGTGCCATCGATGACTGACTCCGGTGTTGGAAGAGACTCAGAAGTGGGGAGGCTGACGCCCTTGGGGTAGAACTCAGAGATTTTGCCGCCGCGCAAGGTGTAGTAGATGTTGTCGTCGCGCGCGGCTCGGATGGAGGCCACCTCGTCTCGCCTCGAGAGCGCGGCTCTGTACGAGTTGACGGCGGCGTCCCGTGCGCCGTACCCGCCGCAGCGCTCGGCTTCGGCGAGGTCTGGGCTGCAGGCCACAAGCTTTGACCAGCATTTGAGGAGGGAGTTGTGGTAGGCTTCGGCCGGGCCGCGCACGCCCGTGCGGCCCTCCCCCGTGTCGTTAAGCACGCCGACCGAGGTGACGCCCGTGTCGACGCCGGAGCCTCCAGTGATGGTAGGGAGCATGGCCTGCCTCCAACCCAGGTCTTTGTATTTCGCAGGAGTATCCTCGGCCTCCGTGAGTAGTTCCCACGATTTGCGAATCCGGTTGCTACCGTCGATGGCCGGGCCCTCGCTGATCTCTGGTGGCGTGACGGAGCAAATGTACTTCGTCTTTGGGCAGGCCTGACGGGTGATGAGGTTGTACTTGAGGTGTCCAACGTTCTGAATGCCCTCGGTGCATTCGAGCGTGTCGATGAAGTCGAGCGGACGGAGGTTTTTGGCGAGGCGTTTGCCAATCGCCTCCGAGGCAGCCTCTGTGTCGCCGAGGTAGGTTCCGACGATTTTGAAGCAGGCCTCGCGTCCGGTGAGGTTCCCGTCCTCGTCTCGGTGGTGCGGCGAGCCGACCATGAAGGGGGGTACGCAGTCGAGGTCGCCGCTCGGAGAGTAGATGATGCACTTCTCCTCGTTGTCGAGGTTGCCAGCGACATCTTTTTGCACCTCGCTCCATTGTACGATAAAGGCTGCAGAATCGTCGGGTCGAACTTCGCTGGCCCGCCGCGTGTGTCCGTCCGAACTTCCCTGTGAGAGCCCTCCAGGCCGAGCTGGGACATCTCACCGGACACCGTCACCGGCCAACCTGCACCATGAGCCGCGCTGCGGCCGGGAAAGCCAACGATTCGGAGCAGAATGACCCAGACGATGTGCCGCCGCTCGTTCCGATGCGCGAGCCGCTCGAGGAGGAGTCGAACCCCTCAGCCTCTGCTCGGGAGGGGGAGGCCGAGCTTGCTCGCTCTCCTGGCGGGTCCAACCGCCACATCATGACCACGAGATGCGAGCCAAGCCAGCCTGACCCATTCCCCACCGCCGCTGTCCGTGGCCGTCACATCCTTACCCGAAAGGAGTACCTTGCGAACTTTGAGGGCGACACAGCGGGGTGGGCGCAATACCAGGAGGACCAATACTACGCTGAGAGGGGCGTCTCCCTCACGGCGGATGCCGAGGAGAGACTCAAGACCAATACGTGGGAGACGCTCGGCCAAGCGAAGGCCCGGCTCTTTGATACGCGAGTCCGCTCGCCGAACAATCGTCCGACCAAGCTGAGCAAGGAGGCCAACGATGCTCGAACTTGTAGGCGACGGGAGAGTAGGCTGCTGAGCCAATGATGCCAATCATGTCGCACATTTGGGGACAGTCGAGATATGAGCAATGGGGAGATGTGGGTAGATGGGGATAGGGGAGCGTTGGACTCCGAATCGCCGTGGGACGTGAGGGGAAGACTGCACTCTCTCTCTCCCTCTCCCTCTCTCTCTCTCTCTCTCTCTCTCTCTCTCCCTCTCCCTCTCTCTCTCTCTCTCTCTCTCTCTCTCTCTCTCTCTGTGTGTGTGTGTGCGCGTGTGTGTGTGTGTGTGTGTGTGTGTGTGTGTGTGTGTGTGTGTGTGTGTGTGTGTGTACAACTAAATAGCCGTGTCCGCGGCAATGGCCAATGCGTGTCGTATGAGATTCAAGATTGTTGACGAGCGGATCAGTACCGTGATAAAGTTAAAGGCGTCGGCGACCGGGGGGCGGGCGTTGAGTCAGCAGTCTGTCTGTGCTCGGACAAGAGTTTTAATCAGTTCGACTCTCTCTCTCCATGAGAAAAGCCACAGACCACAGCGCTTCGAATTGCGTGTACCAGAGAGGAGAGTGTGGGAGCTGTGGGAGCGCCCAATCGATATCGTTTGTGCTCTCGACGTGGTCTCGAGTTACGAGTGTCGTCTGTGTGTGACCTTTCCTATCATGCCTCTAATGCTTCGTTGTCCATCGTCCGCTGCTGTACAACTCTGGCCTCTTCTCCTTCGCAAGGGCCCCGCCCCGCCCCGAGCGGGGGCGGGGCCCGCGCAGCCGCTTCTAGTATTACTGACTCGCGAACTTCCCTCTCAACACGAACGGTGGTGGGCGGGATATGCGCCAACATGGGCCTCACGCTCTCAGAGCTTGAACAGATCCGAGAGGAGGCCATGGCGGAGGACGTCCAAATTGATCTCGAGCGCATGAGTGGCTGGACTCGGGCCGAGGCGGAGCGATATTTCGAAAACGGTGGGGAGGAGGAGCATGAGTTGACGGCATGGTTACGGCGGCTCGACTGCCTCCGTTGCGAAGCGAGCATGCGCCATCAATTTGCAACCCTCGGCGCGTTGCAGATCGCTGTATCTGGTGGCGGTGGCGCCTTCATCGCTAATCTACTGAAGAGCGTCCCAGGCGAGTGCCGAGAGCGGCTGCGCACAGCCTTGGCGCTTTGGCTAAGCCCGAGTGCTACCAGTGCAATCAAGGCTCTTGCGCACGACGCGTCTTCGGCGGGAGCCAACAGCTTCTCGTCCTCTACTGTGCTCAGCAGCGCCAGCGGCTTCTCCTTTTCCACATCGTCCGTCGAGGGCGGCGAGGTCTGCGCACCACGCTGACCGATTTGCTCCCTCAGTGCCCCGCACCAACCGCCCCGCCGCGGAATGCCAGGCTCGCTCGTCTGGATGGTCTCTCCTCAGCTCGCCGGTGATGTCACATTCCTCGCGGAGGATAAGTCCCACACCGAGCAAGCAGCTCTAGATGCCATGCCTTGTCTCTCCTCACGCCTCGCCGGTGACATGTCTCACATTCGCGGAGGAGGATAAGCCCCACGCCAAGCAAGCAGCTCTAGAAATAGATGCCAACTTCCCGAGACTAGCAGTGAAGACGCCCAGTCGTTCTCGTCCCTCGCAAGTCTCACTCTACTCCCGCCATGCTCGCCCAAACCGCAGGCCAATTCTCGCTGCATGACGACGAGCGAATTTCAGATGTGCCGTGAGTCGCCTTCAGTCCTCGGTGACGGTGTCGGACCTCGCCCCTGCACGCTGCAGCGACCCAGAACTTTGCAACTGCATGACACACAGGCGTATTCACGTAGTACTAGTCTAGCTAGCTACCGAGTTTTTGTACATGGCAAAATTCGACTCCAAAATTCGACTCCAAGAGCGCATTCGCACGCACACGGACACGCACGCCACGTCACGCCGCTACCTCAGACAGCGAAACATCAGGATCGCGAGCGGTGTGGCAACAGCATACCCCAAATTCCCAACCAGCAGCGCCGGCGTCTTGAGCCCCTCCCACCCGCAGCCCACTGCGAGCGCGCACGCGGTCGCGGGCCCGCCGATGTTTGCGTTGCTTGCGGTCAGCAGCAGCGAGAGCGGCAGCTCGGGCGCGCCCCCGACGAGCGCGTCGCACATCCCGCCCTCGGCCTTGGGCGGAGCGGCGCAGGCGCGGCGCGCGGCACGCAGCAGCGCGCCCAGCCCGAGGACTACGCTGAGGTGGACAAGGTAGAGGAGGAGGAGGAAGGCGAGCAGCAGAGGCGCCCCGCCCAGGATGGTGCCAAAATCGCCCCCGACCCAGCCCGCCTGAAGGAGAGGAGCACCCAATCAAGACGAGGGATGCGGGTCCAGCCCCCGCCGCGGGGCCAGCCCCCGCCGTCGCAAAGAAGAGGTAGAGCGCGAGTGTGCCCAACTTCTCGGCGGCGGCCGTCAGCGGCGCGAGAGCGGCGGGGAAGGCGGTGGCGGCCGCGACGGTGAGCGCTGTGGCGACGGGCAAGTCGTACCCCGGCACGGGGCAGAGGCGGCGGCTCAGCGCGACGGCCGCCACGCCCAGCGCCAAGGCGGACCCAAGCCGCGCGACGGATGCCTCGTCCCCGCCGTCCTCCGCCTCCTCCGCCGTCTCCACCTCGCCGCTACCGCCCGTCGCCGCCGCCGCCGCCGCCGCCGCCGCCGCCGCCGCTTCCGCTTCCGCCCCAGCCTCGCCGGCGTAGGGGTCGGGCTCGTCCCGCCCCAGGTACGAGCACAAGGGGAAGTAGACCAGCGCCATCACGTTGTCCGCGGCGAGCGCTGCAGCCAGCGGCGCCGGAGAGAGGCCGAGCGCGCCGGCCACCTGTCTCGACACACGGAGCGTCAAGGCAGAGACCTCCCTCCAACACGAGGCCCAGCGCAGCCCCGGCCACCGCCACAAAGTTGAGCCCGCCGCCGATATTCTTGGCCGCGAGTGCCGCGACCACCTTGAGCGCATCGGCGCCAAAGGCAGACGCCAGCGGTCCGCGCAGCGCCGCCCAGCCCGCTAGTGTGCCGAGCACCGTGCCCAGGCAGCCGAGGGCAAAGGCGGGCATCAGTCGGCCGGCGCGGCTCGCTATCGCGCGCAGGTTGGCGCCGAAGAGGAGGAGCGGCGTCGCGAGGCGCACCGCAAGGCCCTGCGCCGCGCTCACTGGCGCCGACGCCGGCGGAAGCGCGCCCGTGCCCGCCGCCACGAAGGTGAGGCCCATCGCGCAGATCGGCCCCGTCGCAAGCCTCCCGAGCTTGGTGGAGACGCCGAGGCGGTAGCCGGTGGCGGCGGCCGTGGTGAGCACCGTGTAGAGCAGCCACTGGTCCGACGCAGCATCCGCCAGCAGGCTGGCGCGCGGAGTGCCGCAGCGGGCGGTGGTCGCCGTTCCGGCGGTACGCAGACGCTGACCAGCCGGGTTCTCCGGCAGCGAGGACCGCAGCAGTGGCGCCGTCCGCAGGTGGACGGCGCGGCTAAGCGTTGGCAGCAGCACGCCGCGATGCGTTGGCGAGTGAGCAGTGGCGGTGGCGAGGCTGGTCAGGAGGAGGAGAAGCGGGAGCATGTCGCCTCGGCACGAGAGGACCTGCGTGGGTCTCCTCCTTTTGTTCTTCGCGGGCGCAGGCGAGACGACCTGCGTGGGGCTTGGACGCGGTTCGTCCTGCGCTCTCTCTGGGCCCTTCCCAAAGCACACCCGCACAGCCTCCGCCATCCGAGGCGGAGGCCGGTGGGCTGAAAAGAAAACACGTCCCCGAGTGGCAGCCAGCTGGCTGTGTGTCTTGTGAGCTTGTTTGTGTCTGTGTGTTGCTCGTGCGTGTCGTCATCATCTGTCCCTAACCCAGGGCGGTTTAGCGCCGTTTAGCCTAGACGGTCACTAGGATTCCTAAACACGACTAAACGATCCTAAACCGCCTCGACAAATGGTCTGCCTGGCCGGGGAGCTCCGTTTAGCACTAAACCGCCCTAACCCCTCAGGGCCTGCAAACTGCGCAACGACTTCTGGCAAGGGACCTCGCAACTTAGTCGTTTGTAGTCAAGCGGATGCGGGCGTTCTGGGCGGCCACGCCTCGACCTTCTTGGGCAGCAGCTGGTTCGACAGGTCCTCTCCGTGGCCTAGGCAGCCGCTTTCACCCTGTCCCCAGGCGAAGACAGCGCCGTCAGCGGTGATGGCGAGGCTGTGGGCTGCTCCAGCCGACACAGCGACGACGCGCTGGCCAGCAAAGGCCTCGACCTTCTTGGGCAGCAGCTGGTTCTGCTCGTCGCCGTGGCCCAAGATGCCATCCTCTCCACCGCCCCAGCTACAGACGGCGCCGTCGGCGGTGATTGCGAAACTGTGGCTCCACCCGGACGACACGGCGACGACGCGCTGGCCAGCAAAGGCCTCGACCTTCTTGGGCAGCAGCTGGCTCTGCTCGTCGCCGTGGCCCGAGCAGCCAGAGGCTCCATAGCCCCAGCTCCAGAGGGCGCCGTCGGCGGTGAGGGCGAGGCTGTGGCCACCTCCAGCCGACACAGCGATGACGCGCTGGCCAGCAAAGGCCTCGATCTTCTTGGGCAGCAGCTGGTCCTGCCCGTCGCCGTGGCCCAGCCGGCCTTCGCCTCCACGGCCCCAGCTCCAGACGCTGCCGCCGGCGGTGAGGGCGAGGCTGTGGTGGCCTCCACCTGACACAGCGACGACGCACTGGCCAGCCAACGCCTCGACCTTCTTCGGCAGCAGCTGGCGCTGCTGGTCGTCGCCGTGGCCCAACCGGCCAAAGGCTCCCCAACCCCAGCTCCAGACAGCCCCGTCGGCGGTGATGGCGAGGCTGTGGCTGCGTCCAGCCGACACAGCGACGACGCGCTGGCCAGCAAAGGCCTCGACCTTCTTTGGTTGCCACTGATGCTGCCCGTCGCCGTGGCCCAGCTTGCCAAAGCTTCCACCGCCCCAGCTCCAGAGGGCACCGTCGGCGGTGAGGGCAACGCTGTGGCTGCGTCCAGCCGACACAGCGACGACGCGCTGGCCAGCAAAAGCCTCGACTTTCTTCGGCAGCAGCTGGCTCTGCTGGACGCCGTGGCCCAGCTTGCCAAAGTTTCCACCGCCCCAGCTCCAGACGGCACCGTCGGCAGCGAGGGCGAGGCTGTGACAAAAGCCAGCTGACACAGTCACGGCGCGCTCGCCGCCCAGAGAGGGGGGGCGGGTCGGCGTGTTGAGCTGCGTCACGCCCTCACCGTGGCCGAGGAGGCATGGCTCGCCATACGCTGAGCCGCACGACGAGAGCCGCCCCTCGCCGTCGATGAAGAGGCTGTGAGACAGGCCTGCCGACGCCTTCACCGGCGGGTTGGCCTCGCGCAGCAGCGCAGCGAAGCACAGCCACCGCACGGTGCAGCCCTCGCCCTCTGGCTGCACCGGCAGCTCGAAGCCGCGCTCTTGCGCCCACAAGCGGATGGCCTCCTCTGCGAGCGAGGCGTGGAAGAGCAGCGAGACGGCCGCGACGCGAGCGATGTCGGCGGGGTCGCAGCGAGAGAGGGCGCGCTCGAGGAGCTCCCTGGGGAGGTCGAGGATGCGGGCGGGCGGCGGCGTGCTCGGCGAGAGAGCGGCGGTGGCGTTGGAGGCGAGGCGGCGCGAGCGGCGGCGCGACGGGGTGGACATCGGAGAAAAGAATTTGCAGAGGGCGGCGATGCTTTCGGGCAGCCTCAGCTGGTTCATTAATTGAGCCTCTCCCCTTCCTTTTAACCCTGTCAAACGACGGGAGAGACACAAACGTGAATCTCGGAGCGTTTCAAAACGGACCAGAAACGGATTCGTCGGCCGAAAACGTTACACCAGCGTTCCCCAACTCAGCCATGCGTGAGATCGTCTCCATCCAGGGTGGCCAGTGCGGCAACCAGATCGGTGCGACGCTGCTCACCCTCGCCGCCGCGCCCCACTCACCGCCTCTATCCCCCCTCCCCCCTCTCTTCCCTCCCTTCTTGCGCCGCGCAGCTCGGGCGCTCGTCCCTCACCACCGCCCGTCCCTCTCCACTGCCAGGCGCCAAGTTCTGGGAGGTTGTCTCGGACGAGCACGGCATCGATCCCACCGGCACCTACCACGGCGACTCCGACCTCCAGCTCGAGCGCATCAACGTCTACTACAACGAGGCGACGGGCGGCCGGTACGTCCCGCGCGCCGTGCTCATGGACCTCGAGCCGGGCACCATGGACTCGGTGCGGTCGGGCCCCTTTGGCCAGATCTTCCGCCCGGACAACTTCGTCTTTGGCCAGTCGGGCGCCGGCAACAATTGGGCGAAGGGCCACTACACCGAGGGCGCCGAGCTGATTGACGCCGTGCTCGACGTCGTCCGCAAGGAGGCCGAGGGCTGTGACTGCCTGCAGGGCTTCACGCTGTCGCACTCGCTGGGCGGTGGCACCGGCTCGGGCATGGGCACCCTCCTCATCTCCAAGATCCGCGAGGAGTACCCCGACCGCGTCATGTGCTCCTACTCGGTCTTCCCCTCGCCCAAGGTGTCCGACACGGTCGTCGAGCCGTACAACTGCGTCCTCTCCATCCACCAGCTGGTCGAGAACTCGGACGAGTCGCTGCTGATCGACAACGAGGCGCTGTACGACATCTGTTTCCGCACGCTGAAGCTCACCACCCCCACCTTTGGCGACCTCAACCACCTCGTCGCCGCCGTCATGTCGGCGTCGACCTGCTGCCTCCGCTTCCCCGGCCAGCTCAACTGCGACCTGCGCAAGCTCGCCGTCAACATGATCCCCTTCCCGCGTCTGCACTTCTTCATGGTCGGCTTCGCGCCGCTCACCTCGCGCGGCTCGCAGCAGTACCGCTCGCTCACCGTCCCGGAGCTGACGCAGCAGATGTTTGACGCCAAGAACATGATGGCGGCCGCCGACCCGCGCCACGGCCGCTACCTCACGTGCACCGCGCTCTTCCGCGGCCGCATGTCGACCAAGGAGGTGGACGAGCAGATGCTCAACGTGCAGAACAAGAACTCGTCCTACTTTGTCGAGTGGATCCCCAACAACATGAAGTGCGCCATCTGCGACATCCCGCCCAAGGGCCTCAAGATGTCGGTCGGCTTCATGGGCAACTCGACCTGCATGCAGGAGGTGATGAAGCGCGTCGCCGAGCAGTTCACCGCCATGTTCCGCCGCAAGGCCTTCCTCCACTGGTACACCGGCGAGGGCATGGACGAGATGGAGTTCACCGAGGCCGAGTCCAACATGAACGACCTCGTCTCCGAGTACCAGCAGTACCAGGACGCCTCGGCGGAGGAGGAGGGAGAGTACGACGAGGAGGGCGGCGAGGAGTACTAGAGTGGCGGAGAGGAGGGGGACGGTGTGCACGCGGACGCGGGCCAGTCGGCACGGGCTCAAGGGCCCTCGCGCCATCGCTCGAGCGCCCCCTCTGGTGTCAAGTGGAATGGGACAAGGGCAGGGTGAAGTTGTGTGCGCTCCTGCGCGGCAATGGGGGGGGGGGGTCTTGTGATGAGTGGGTGGGTTGACATGCTTGGCAGGGCTGTGCACTCCAATGGGCATACGCGAGCGTGGGCGCGTTCAGTGGGCATGGAGGAAGGGGACGGGGAAGCAGCGGGGAAGGGTATGGTGATGGAAAATGCGTGAGGGGACGGGGGGAGTGAGATGGAGTGGGGCTGCGTGGTGGGCTAAGGACTGGGAGAAATTTGATGACTGTAGCATATGCACGTGAATAAAGGGTGCCGAGACACCCCGCGAGTTCAGCCAGCGTATACACATCGCTGCATTCGCGCTCTCTTGCATGCTTGGTGGTTTCAGAGGTCGGTGGGGGGCGCGGCCCGCGCGCGCGGCGACGCATGATCAGCCCGGCGGCGGCGGCTCGCGGACGGGCACGTTGCACACACGCGCCAGCACCCCCGCCGCTTGGGGCTGGACGGATCGGCAAGCAGCTTCGCCACACCACCGCATCCCTCGACGTCCTCGACGGCGACGCCTCCTCTCGAGGGCAAGTCGGAGAGAGCGGCGGCGGCTCAGCGCCGAGCCCCGCTAGCCCGAAGCCTCGTTCGCGCGAGCCGCCTGCGACCCCCCCGGCCCCCTCGCGCCAATCCTCCTGCGACTACGGGAGGAGGAGGCGGGGCCGGCGCGGTGCTGGACCCCTACCCCGATCCCGACATGCCGGACGACTTGTCCGTCGAGTCTCTGCGTTTCGTGCCCTCGGAGTCGGCACTTTGAGCAACTTTCATGGCATGCTCCGCTAAGGCGTGGCACGTTCGCTTCCTCGCCCGCCTAACCTCCGCCGCCCCCTTCCGCCCGGGTTGCGCCCCTGCGGCGCCCGCATCCACATGGACCATGTTCCAAGATCCCCTGGAGTTGTCCCCACTCAAGGTTATGGGCCCGGGCCCATAACAGCCATAACACCCATAACATGTTATGGGCTGCTATGCCCAGAGAGCCATAACACCATAACAATAACTGTGAGTGGGGACAACTGGAGCCCTGAGGCCCATGGCCAGTATAGTAGTCGCCGCCGCTCCATGCTCTATCCCGCGCGGACCTGTAGCATGCTGATCTCTCCGCATCTTCCCCGGATGCGGGATGGTCTCTCGCGGCCTCGTGTACTGCCGCGAGAGCCCCACGAGCGAGGCCAGCACTGCCATTGTCACGGATCCGTTTCTCGAGGTTCTCGAGGTGGATATCCTTTGGCCGCGTTGGGTAGCGAGGATTGGTGTAACCCGAGCCACGGAGGCGTGTTTTCTGACGGCCGACCGTCAGTGCACGGAGTTGCCCCTTCTCCGACTGCCCCGGCTAGTTCCCGAGGCTCGCCGGGTTTCCCCTACGTCACCCAGGACCTAGGTCCTAGCGCGGGTGGGTTGGAGGGGGATCCGTTTTCTTTTGACCGTTTTCCATATGCTCCTACCTTGTGCCCCGGTGTGAAAGCGTGCAGTGCCGCTGTCTTGACCGCTCTCAGAGATATGTGTGTGTGGGTGCACTCTGTCTCCCCGGACTCGGTGGACTCCCCCCCCCCGCCCCCCCAGCACGCGCTCGAGTGACTGTGTGTCTCTGAGACTCTGACGTCTGAGTCTGTGTACGCGCGTGCACGCCGCGGCGCGCGGGCCGCCGCCAGTGTTATCTGCACGAGCCTCGTTGCGCCAGTGTGGCGCCTATTATCCCGTGCTGTTTGTTCCTAATCAATTCCCCCACGCCCACCCCCTGCGCCCGCTGCAGCTCCAGCCGGCAGCCGCACGCCCCCCCCCCAGCCTCCACTTGACGGATGCCGCCGCCGCCGCCGCGCACACACACATACATTCATACAGTACTGGTGTCTCAGCAGCAGGAGAAGAGAGCGCCTTGCGCCGGCATCCGCCCCTGAACCGTGCGGAGGGGTGCGGGGAGGTGATGTCGCGCCTCTTTTCTCGTGGCAGCAAACCTGCGAGCGATCGCGGCGTGGAGCGATCGCCGGCTCCCCCCTTGTCATGTGTCCGGTCAGATGCTGCGGCCGACCACGCGCAGATGCTCGCGCGAGTGCCCCTCGTAGAAGCGGTTCGTCAGCTGCGAGCACCCCCACACGGTGAGGCGCTGCAAGCGCGGCGCCGCGTCGACGAGCGCGCCGACGCCGTTGTCCGAGACGGCGCGGCACCAGCTGAGGTCGAGCGACTCGAGGCTGTCGGCGCAGTGCTCCTTGAGCGCGACGAGGCACGCGTCGCCGAGGGCGGGCACGTTGTTGAGCGACAAGTGCGCGAGCACGCCTGACGCGTCGCAACCTCGCGTGAGATCGGCCGACCCTCGCTCGGTGGCGAACGGCGGTGCGCGCGCGCGAGCACGCGCCGCCGCATGCCGCGGCGAGCCCCTCGATGGCGCCGTCCGAGAGCTGGACGCACTTGCGCAGCGAGAGGCTCGAGAGGGCGCCGCGCCGCGCCGCGGCGATGCGGCCGAGCGCGTCGTCGGTGAGGTTCTCGACGCCGTCGAGGGAAAGCTCTCGCAGCCGTGGGCACGCCTGCGTGACGGTCACCACAGGAAGTTCAGAAAGGGCTCAGAAAATGCTCCGGGCAGACCTCGCGCCGCCGGACGCGCGCCTCGGCGGCGGTGGCGACGGCGTCGGCCGAGAGGACGGTGCAGCCGCCCAAGTCGAGCGCCTCGAGGCAGTGCGCCGACCCGCCGACGGCCGCAAGCATCGAGGAGGAGACGAGCAGACGCGTGCCTGCAGGAAGGTTCCTGGAAAGGTCTAGGAGGTGTCCCGGAAGAGCAGCGAGGAGGAGTCAGAGCAGCCGCGTGCCGCGGAAGGAGAGGGACTGCAGCTGCGTGAGCCGGCCGATCGGCGCCGCCGCCTCGCCGGGCAAGTAGATGAGGTCCTGTACGCACAAGCGAGAGGGGGGGGGGGGTGAGGACCGCAAGGCCGCGGCCCTCGCCCGGCCGGCAGCGGGCGCGGGTCCGCTCCTCCAGCGCGAGCCTCTCGAGCGAATCGCACTCGCTGGCGATGGAGGCCACAAAGGCGGCGGTGAGCTGCTGGTTTCCCGAGATCTTGAGCGAGCGCAGCGCCGCGCCGCGCGCGCCGCAGATGGCGGCGACGCAGCCGTCGGTGAGGCGGTACGCGCCCGTGAGAGTGAGCGACTCGAGGGCGCCCATGCGCGCGATCAGCTGCGAGGTGGCCGTGGTGACGCACTTTCCGCAAAAGCCGAGCGAGAGCAGCGCGAGGCGCGAGTCTGGCGCCGGGAAGACACACCCGAGGTGAGCGCAGCGTGGACCTTGGCGTGGGTGCGAGGGCCCCCCAAAGCGTCGATGCGAGGGTGCATCCGAAGCCGCGTCTCCTCGAGTGCCAGTTGGGAGAGGCTCTGGATGTGCAGTCCGCATCTAGGCGCGGGGCGAGCCTGGGCAGGCGAGCGGCTCGAGCGTCTCGTGCAGCGCCTGCTCGTCGATCTGGTGGCAGTCGGGCGCAACGAGCTCCGAGAGAGGAAGCCTGCGACAGCATGCCGCGGGCGCGTCAGCGACGCACCCGCGTGCGCGATTGGCTCAGAGGGCCAAGGTACCCGGGCGGCGCGAGGAGCCGCAGCTGCGGCTGCCTGCGGCGGGGGGGCAAAGTGCGGTGGGCGTGACAGGATGGCTGGCCCGGGCCAGAGGGCGGGATGAGGTGCTGCCGGAAGAGGCGGCGGCGGCAGAGCTCCGTCGCGAGCGCGTGCTGCACTGCGGGCGTCAGCGCGCCTAAAGAGGGAGGGTGCGAGCCATCGGAGGTCCGGGAGAAAGCCCTCGACGAAGACGATGCTCGAGTCTCGGGTGGTCTCGGGCTGATCTCGGCTGATCTCGGCTGATCTCGGCTGATCTCGGCTGATCTCGGGTCATTCCGCGCGCCAAAGTCCTCGACGCAATCGATGTTGGCGCACACGAACTCCGTGGCGAGCGCCTGCAGCGTCGGCACCGGCTCCGGCGCGCTGCGGCGGCGGCGCGCGGCGGCCGCCTCGTACTCGCGCTTGGGGGACCACTCGACGAGGGGGGGCGGCGCCTGGCAGCGAGGGGCGGGGCGGTGCAGAGGGCGGCGGCGCGGCGCTGGTCCTCCTCACAGCAGGCGCACGCGGCGGGCGAGAGAGAGGGGGAGAGAGGGAGAGAGAGGGAGAGGGAGAGAGGGAGAGAGAGGGAGGCAGGACTGGGAGAGTTCTCGGACGTGTCTCGGAAGTGCCTCGGAGGTGCCTCGGAGGTGCCGCAGACGTGCCTCGGAAGTGTCTCGGAAGTGTCCCGCGCCTCGCCGCCGAGCTCCTCCTGCCGCTCGGCGAGTGCGGCCGCTCGCTTGTCAAGCAGTGCGCGCGCCGTCGCCCACGGCCCGCACCAGCCCTCGCCCTTCTCCTCGGCCGTCTCCGCCTGCCCGCCGATCCGGAAGCCCTGCAGCCGCGGGTCGCGCGCCTATGCTTCTCGCGACTCGCTCCTCCTTTGGGGGGCTGCACGACCCACGGGCAAGGTCCGGCTGGCCGCGCGCCTATTGCCAAGTCCCCGAGGCCGGCTCCGAGACCGGCTTCGAGAGGCGCCTCGAGGCGGCGACGTCTCCCGCACCCCGCCCGCCGCCGGCTCAGAAGACGAAGCAGAGGCCGCCGCGGCCGCCGCCGGCTTTGGCGCCGCCTCCGCCCCCTCCTCGGCGTCCGAGTCGGGCTGGAGCGCGTTGAGCGCCTGACGCACACGAGGACATGTCGTGGACGTGTCGTGGGCGTGTCGTGGGCGTGTCGTGGGCGTGTCGTGGACGTGTCGTGGGCGTGTCGTGGACGTGTCGTGGGCGTGTCGTGGACGTGTCGCCGGGCGTCTCCTCCCACCCTCCCCTCTCCTCTCCTCTCCCCTCCCCTCGACTGCCGAGGCGCCTCCTCCTCCTCCTCTACCCTCTCCGCTCCGCTCATTTCTTCTCCCCCCCTCTCTCCCACTGCGCCGGGCGCCTCCTCCCACGCGTCCTGCGCGTGCGCGTTCTCCTTGCGCCACTTTTTGCTCACGCGACCCTGCTCGTCGTCGCCTTCGCCACCGCCCTCTCCGCCGCCCCCGGCCGCCGCCTTGCGCTTCGCCTTGCCTCGGCTCTTCGACGCGCCAGCGCCGCCCCCCTCCCCCTCCCGCCCCTCGCCCTCGCCCTCCTCGTCGGCGCAACCGTCGTCGGGCGCCCGCACCTTCCGCCGCGCCTTGGCCTGCGAGGCGGCCGCCCCGCCGCCGTCGCCCTCCCGCTCCGCCCGCTTGCGGAGCCGCTTGATCATCGTCTCCTTGTTGCCCGACGTGCCGACGCCGGCAGCCTCGCACCTGTCAAAGAAAAGGTGCCAGCCAGTCAGGAGAGAGGCGAGACGCGTGCCGACGCCGACAGCACCCGCACCGGCGGCGAAGCTCTGCGCAGGAGAGATTGGTCGAGAGGGGGGGCTCCTCCTCGCCAGCCTCACCACCTCCCGCCTCGCCCTCCTCCTCCTCCTTGACCGCCCCCTCCGCCCCCGCCCCCGCCTCCGCCTCCGCCTCCGCCTCCCCACCGCTGCGCCGGCCCTTGCCCTTGCCGCGGCGGGACGAGTCTGTGAAGTCGCTGCTCGGAGGAGAGCAGGGCCCGAGGTGAAAGTCGGGCTGGCTGCAGCCCGGCGTGCCGCACTCCTTCTTCGCCTTGCCCGCCTTGCTCTTGCCCTTCTGCCCCTTCCCCGCCTGGCCGCTGCCCGGACTGGCGGCGGCGGCGGCGGAGGCGGAGGAGGAGATGTCCTTGCCAAGCGGCTCAGCGGGCTTGAGGTCGGTCTGGAGCAGCCAGCCGTGGCTGCCGTCCGGGTAGAGGACCTGGAAGCGGAGCCTGCCGGCGGGATCGATGCGGACAGCGACCACATCGGCGGGGCCAAAGGGGCGCGGCTGCTTGCCGCCCGACGAGCAGCCGCCCGCCGCCGCCGAGCGCGCCTCGACGCGGCAGTGCAGGAACTCGGTCGGCACCGTCTCGTCGGGCGCCGCGGCTAGCGGCGTCGCTTTGGAGGCGTCGATCCAGACCGGGCCGGATCCGCCCTCGGCGCGCACAAGCAGGCGGGTGCCGCACGTGGACGCCTCGATCACGAGCTTGACCGTCGAGCGCCCGCCCTTGACGGTGACCAGGCTGCCGATCATCTCCTCGGCGGCGGGAGCCGCGGTGGGCGCCGGTGGAGCCAGCGCGGGCGCCGAAGCTGCCGGCGACTCAAAGTCGCTGTCGGAGGAGATGGGCTCGAGGTTCAGGCGCTTAAGCGCGAGGCACTTGCCGTCGGGCGTCCGCACTCGCCAACGCTCGAGTCCTCCGTCCCAGCGCACAACCGTGGCGGTGCTGCCGTTGAGGTCGTCACGAGAGGTGAGGTCCTTGATGCGTACCTTCTGCGAGCGAGCGAGAGGAGATGCCATGGCCTCCAGGCCCTGGATGTGAGGCTGCTAACTGCACTCCAAGTGCTCCAAAGGCTCTCCCGCGCCTGTGTGATCGCCGTATTGAAAAAAGAATTCTTCGTGGCTGTTGTCTGTTTTCTTTCTTTCTTTTTAGCGAGGATCGGCGAGAGACTGCGAAAAGAGATAGGAAGAGGCAGACTCCCTAGGGTGGGCGACGGCTAGCGCACCACACTCCTCTCCTTAAAATCCCTGTGTGGTGGCGGCGTGCCGTCCTCCCATCCCTCCCTTGGGTTGTCTGTTTTCTTTCTTTCTTTTTTCTTTCTTTTTGAGCCCGGCACAAGTAGAGAGAGATACAAAACTCAAGGCGGCGCGGCGTGTGTATACACACATCGCTTTTCATCATCTCGAAATCTCGATCATGATAGCAGCTGCTTGCCGCGCCGGGGCCTCCCTCTGAGCGACCGCGGCGCGGAGGCCGGTGAGACGGCGGGCGAGAAGCACCCGTGCCCCAGCGGCCAGGATCTACCCGCTCCCTGGCCCCTCGCCGCGAACCACATACGTCACACGTGTGCAGCGTCCCGCTGCCGTAGTCTCGATGCCCTCACAGCCTCCACAGGGAGGGCGCCCCGGTCTCCACAGACCCCACCCATGCCACTCCTCCCCGCCCGCGCCCGCCGCGGCCCTC